CAACTCGTTTTGAATCGCCCAGACGTCTCCAGTCCTGCAGTGGTCCATAAGCCGCCTGTAGACTTTGGGAGCGGCCTCCTCTGGACAAATCAAACAGCACTCCTCACTCGGTCTCCGCATCGCGATCACAGATGATCTGCAATGAGCACTGGAAGTGCCTCCAGGCCCATTCTAAACAGTTGGGAGCACGCTCTTGCGTCCGTCAGGCTCTCCAAAACCGAAAGGAAGCACTCTACCGCCAGGGTCAAAACCAAAGCCACGGCAGACCCGGCAACCCCCTTTTGCCCAGCTGAACATCCTACCTAAAGTGCTGTTGTCGTCTAACACGACAAAACTGCGACGAATGCGATTCGCGCTCCGTGTCAGAAAAAACTTCATCGAATTCGGTTGTACAAGGCATCGAAGAACTTTGTTCGTATCGGAATGTTCTGGACCGCCGCACCTTCATGTTATCGTACTGTTTGCGGGGAAGCCGCGCAACAACAAGTGGAAGCAGAGTCGATAGAGCCCGCTCGTTGCTGCGTGCATGCCCGGCAGCGTGGATGCAAGCACATATGTATTGCCACGAAGCGTCAACCTGCAAGATGATAGCGCTCTCCCACATACAGGTACACACCTTGACCGACCTCATTGACTTCCGGAATGTCCCTGTCTACGCAGTATCTCGGCCATCTACGAGCAGCTTCTAATCTTCTAATTGTCCTGGACGCAGCGTTGCTAATTACTGAGGCAGCAACCTTAAATCCTGCGTAGACGCACATGGCCACGCAAAATCATTATAAAAGTTGCCATGTTGCGTAAACAGATGGACCTGAAGGTGGGGGCTGGAAGGGGGAGGGACCAAAGGAGGGGAAGCCCCCCCTGACCTTGTACAATATTGCTGCTACCTTGTGGTAGGGGGGCGGTCCCGCTCCCTTTTGGCTCTGAGTCAATCATTCGTGTGGTGGTGCGGGTGCCCCCCCTCCTTTTACTATTGAGAAAGGACCAAATAAGGTCCTGCACCTGCACGCTTTTGTGATCTGGTTCTCTACTACCTAAGTGACTGGTAAACAACAATTCCCGCACGCTCCACAGAGCCAGCTTTCGTGAAAAGGAATCCCTTTGCATTTCGCTGGCAATGGAGGGACAAAATCCGCGTCCCAGCCATCTGGCATCTTCCACGGCAGACGGTAGCGACGCCGCACAGGCTGCAAACAGTTGGTATGTCAATTTAAGCCATGCGAGATGCCGTGGTTCCTTGCTAGCTCCTAAACAGGGGAGATGCCTGCAAAGCTTTTGCAATCTCGTTGCTCATGAGTTGGAGCAGGCTGGCTATGTGTTGATGCAGTTGATGGGTGCTGCCGATGTAAGTTGCATTAAGTTGCTGTCGTGTTCGTCCACATCAACCGGCAGTCGTTGCACAATGCGACAGAAAGTGGCGGCAACAAGGAATGCCACTTAGAGAGAGAGAGAGAGAGAGAGAGAGAGCCGAAACGTTTGCCCTCTTTGAGGATATGCTTCGTGATTGGACACTCCTTCCACAAATTAACCATTGAATTGCAGGGACAGACATTGCATGCCTTGCAAATTTGTAAACATGCCTGACTTGGCTTTTGGGCTAAGCTTCAAATGCAATACCTTGCCCGTCCTCTGGATGGCTAGTGCAGGATGGTTTTCCGGCACAGGACTTGGACTCACAGCAGGAGGTGTCTGTGGACTACCAAACTATTTGTTGTCTGCATGTACATTCTACAGGTCGTGATCCGTCTGAAGGCACAAGCCTCGTTTCGTGCATTCTTTACATCCTGGCCCAAAAGAAACGCTTGTTGTTGAGCTCATGATGCCACCTGCCGGTCGTCGGTCTGGTAAACCGGTGACCCCTACTGCACGGGCTATACCAGTCTTGTAGTGGAAACGTCGCGGTTTTGGTGTGGAGACATCAGGGAAGTAAGCGAAAGCTGCTGATGTCAATGGATGTCCGTATCCAGAACTAAAGCTATCCGAGACATCTTCAATGCGTCCTGCAGCTCATGCTCCATCCTCCAGACTTCGTGCCGATAGATCAGATCATCGTCGCGATCATCGATCTCCTGAATCATGCGCGACCCAACGACATCTGATCTGTGTAACTATAGAATTTCAGACGGGTTATGGAGGGAGAGAAGCAGGAGCATGCCGCCTTCAGCTCGAAGGCTTGGCGCATGCCACTGACTTGCAGCACCTGCCGGACTGCATCCGCCAAGAAGCTTCTCCGAAAGTCCAAAAGCTTTCGATTTCTTGAGCTTCAACTCCTGATCGAATCTAACGGGAGGACCTCCTTGGGCGAGAGAAATCCACGAACCACTGCAACTTGGAGTTCCTGAGCACCAGCTTCGTTACACCGGTCTCTTGCTGTCATGCTCTGGCAGCGGCTGAAACCTGCTGCAACGCAGCGATGCGCCCTAGCCATCTCTTCCATTGAAGCGATCTCTTCCACAAGTACGCATGCGTGCTAGAGCGAGCCTCTTGCTCTGCATCCAGCAGTTCGAAGCATGGTGCAGGTGGAGGGTCGTTATCAAATTCCACGACACCTTAGCCACTGTCAGAATGCCAATCTCAACTCTATGTTTGCGAAAATGAATGTGGCTGCAGTGGCGACGGCCATGTGTGCAAAATTTCACGAGTGATGCGTGACTGTGGCAACTTGACGCAGGCAGCTCATCTGCATCATAGCCGGTGCTGACTTAGGGCAAGGCAATCAGCCACGTCTCCCGTTTCCAAGAGCCCGCACAACCATGGCAGAGCTTGGACCATCTAGCTCACAACATGCGACTCCTGCAGACTCTGACATACAGCTAAATTCTAATTTGCCAATGGCGTAACGTCTGATACGAGCTGGTGGCCTGCCTTGAAGTGCCTCTTTGAATAACTACTTTTCTTCGAAATTGCTTCGACCTAGGGGCAATTCGCCTGTGCAAGCAGCAGTTTAGACACCAGGTGCAAGCAAGGATCCAGCATCATACAGCAAGACTGCCAGGCATCGAAGCAAAACTGCCGTGCATCGATGCTTGTGCTCTGCACCCAGCCTCCATTCGAAAAAGACTTGGCCTCAAAGCGGCAGGTGCTGCCCACAGTGGTCTAATTATGCTGAAGGAACTCTTGAACTATCTGCATGTAGACTTGCACACTGGGATTCACTATGGAGGACTTGCAAGTATCGTGCAGGAGCAGTCCACATGTTTGACTCTGAGGGTAAAGCTTCATCAACACGCTGACATGAAGTCCACTTCCACACCGGACCGCCCAATTGAGCGACAGCTGCCGACTATGGAAGAAAACAGCAAGTTAACTTCCCGTAATCAAGACTCTGCTTCAATCTATCGTTCCATTCTGCCCTTTTGTCAGGCAGCCGCATTACCCACTTACAAACCATGCACATGTGACCCCGAGTTGGTAGCACTCTCAACTGGTGTATCACACGTTTACTATCCTATTCAAGATCCGGCATGTAACGAGTCAAACGACTGTCGGACAAGACCTCGCAGAGAAGTGTGGGAGTCTTCCTCACAGCTCCTCAGCAGCAAACCATTTTCGAGCATGACGCAACTCATCATGAGTTTCTCGTATGCACCACTGCACGAGCAGTCGTGACACACGAGGTACGCAATGCGCACTAGGCCACTAGGCCCTAGGCTTGAGCAGAGCACTAGCCGCTTGTGGAGACGAGAGCCGCCGTTTCGGCCACGCGGCCGAAAAGTCCTTCACCTTTTCTAACCAGCACCAAAAAAATCCCATTATCTCTCTATGCACCACTCTGCTTCGGGAATTCTGGAATCTGATTCTTATGTGGGAACCCATCGACAAGAAAAGGCGTCTCCAAAGCGGGCCAACATGCACATGTTCAAATGCCCGGCAAACTTCAAGGCACTCTTTTGCTTGTTGAACCTTACAAGCTGTGAGGATGACCTTCTCCTGCAGCGACTTGCGTGGAATGCCTTCGAAGAATGCGGCTAGTTAAGAACATCGCATTCGGGCAACAAGTGAAGCCAGATCGATCAGGAACTGCACTTAAGTTCTCCCTCCTTCGGAACTGGCGGTCTACTCCTGTTTGCACTGCCGGCGGACAAATTGATGTCCTGTTGCCCTGCTTGTTAGGCCGTTTAGAAAGTCGTTGGTGGAGGTGAGCTGGCCCCCTGTTGGCTAAGAGGCATGACACTGCCACGCAACGGGGCAGCTCCAGAAAACTATGATGCCTGGACGGCTGGCAGGCACGAAAATGAAAATGCCGAAAGGTCGGGCTGAAAAGTTTTGAAACACACCAGGCAAAACACAGAATACTAGCACAGAAGCCGCAGGTGGATCCTTGTGATCACAGTGGCTCGCTGCTTCTGCAATTGACTTGTCGTCCCTCCATCGAATGCCAGGAAGGTTTCAAGTCACAAGGATCACATTTCACCATTGGCAAACAAAACGTGGCTGCACGTCTCTTCCGGGCAGGTACATACCACCAGCGAAAGCTTTGCGGAGAGCAGTTGATAAATGCACGGACAAACACGCACTAAGCTCCGGGCAGTGGGATTTGCAACAATTCTGTAGTGGTTACCGACACTGTGCACACAGCTCGCCTCAGAAAATGGTCTGAAACTCCTTCTAGAAAAGCTCGACTTTACGACCGCCTGTATGGAAAATTCCTGTGCAAGGCAGATCCAGAAAGCTTTCGGCCTCGAAGTAGCCGCGAAGGAAAGCGCTCCCAGTGGAGAATTACAGCGCGCTACCAGCAACCCGCGCCGCTCGGTTAACAGGGCGACAGGCCATGGCCAACCAAACTTACAATTGGCCGTTGCGGATGGGCGCTATACTCGACTGTTGCTTAGCAACTTGGAATTGGGCAGCAGCCAAAAGCTGAATAATGAAGCATCTCAGTTCTGCTGCCGTTGACGTTGACACCTTCACCTGCCATGTGAATCGCTGCCGTGGTTCCGTGAGTCGAGACTGCATGCAACAGCCTTACACAGGTGTTCAGTAGCTCAGCTCCAGACATCTCATACGAAGTGAGTAGGCCTGAGGGTGACGCTCAGACACGATCACGCAGAGAGAGATGGAGAGAGAGACAATCACAAACAAACGTGAACACCCATGCGCACGTGGGCCCAGGACATCTCGCCTCGTTGCACGAAACACAAAGCACTCGCTGAATGAGTCAGGTGGCGTGGCATCCTGGTCCAAATGGGCCAAATCCGAGTCCTCGCACACTGAACCAGCACTTATTGATCCTAGACGTCGGAAATGTACAACCGTACAATTGCAGCAGACGTGGATGCACAAACAATGCGACTTGAACTTTGCTTGGCGACTGAATTGCGACTGCAACACCCTAAGGCGCCTCGAAGCTAGAGCTGCTGCTGGCACTCGAGTAGTTGATTGTTGTCCATGAAGGAACTCGTCCTCCCGCTATCAGGTATGTCAGGTCAGCTTCTGCGGTCTTCGACATGCGACATCACTCATGCGACAAGACATGCCTTGAAAAGCGGGCAAGCTGTCAGCTGTCGATGCCGCCTTGGTCCAAGCACACGACGTGTCAGTGTGTGGGATCCAGGCTGCAGGCTGCTTGTCACAGCTATTGCAGCTGCAGCGGGAGGAGTGCAACACGGTGAAGGAGGAGAGTGATAGGAGTCAGGCACAAAAGCGTTTCGACATGAAGACATTCGAAACTGCGGTCGTGACAGAAGTCGTCTGTCTTGGACAAGCATGTACCAGGCACGTCTGGTGGTCCTATGCTCAATCTTGTCTACACCCCCCAACAGCGGCAAAGGGACGCAGAAGGGCTGGCCAAGGACGGCCAGGCTCTTGGCGACCGATTCAACTGATCCCTGAGATGGGCTTGCATGCTGTGCACAAGTTCAAACTGTGCATGCTTTCCTTCAAGGTGAAGTGCTGCTGCATATGGCCTGATATATTCTGCTTGGTCTAAAGCTCGCACTGACGACGACTTGCATATGTTAACAAGATCCAGCATCAGGAAGCTTCTCACACGTCCCACGAAGCTTTGAATGCGAGAGCAAGACACGAGGCCAGAGGCGAAAGTACAAGTGGGCAGGTTTCCGAGCCACTCTGCCATTCTGCCGAAGTGCTGAGAAGAAGGGATTGATCTGGGCTGCTGCATCCTGCGGACAGCGGATGGGGATCTGTGACATTGATTTCCTTGCGTGCTGTACTACCTGCAAGCATTTCGACGTGCAAATGTGTTGGGGTTGCAACCGGCTCCTGTCGCATCAGAGGGCTGAGCGAAATGAAGGCAGGCTCGCGGTTAGCCTGCAGAGTCCTCAGGACAGCACGCGTGCTTCCCGAAATGTCAGACACGTGTTCCATGCAACAAACACTAGCTGTCACTAGCTTGCCAAGTTATGTGCCTCAATGACATTTGTTTTAAGGAAGCGACATTTCCTTCTGCGCCAGGGGCGAAATCGGCCAATTGCCTTGACGTCCTTCGCAAAGCTTGAGGGAGCAGGTTCGTCGAGTTTGAATGAAAGGACAAAGCGAATTATTCTCTCCAACTTGTACAACAACAGTGATCCACAGACGTGCCTTCCAACACCTGTCATCTGCTTCCCGAACCGTGCAGATTTTGCAGAACAGTTCCCAGGACGTCCAAGACAATTACGCGACTCTTATGCCAAATGCTCGCAGCCATGTCCTGTCGCAGTGGCAGCATAACCACTTTGTCCGAAGTTCCCACCTGCACCAGTCTTTTCTTCATCGGTGATCAACTTAGCTCTCACTGCCTGTAGGCATCTGTGGACGCTTGCAGGTGTTTGTGTTTGCCTGCAGCTGCAGCATTCAACAAGAGAGAAGCGGCATAGCTGCTGCTCAAGTCGTTGAAGCCTGACACAGCACCCAGCAAAGGACGGCACATGTCTCAGACTGTCTCAGAGTCTGCGACCCCACAGTCTCTCAACCGAACCTGGTTGGGCGTCCACGTCTGGCTCGGAGAGCCCTGGGGGTGCAGCGATTGCGACCTCTCAGCCGCTCATGCTGAGTCTGAAGTACTTGCCGTGGCCTTGCCGCCTTGCTGCATGAGAAACATCTTCTGCGATTGAACCGTGTTTGCCCCATATTATCATGGCCTCTGGTTAAGAGCAGGCCATGCCACGTGCAATCCAGAGTCATGGTCGAACGATTGTGCAATCTGTGTTTGGGAATGCATCGGTTGCTGCATCTGGCTTCGTACATACATACACCCCTGACATATTGTATCTACACCCGTTGGTGTGTTCAGTTGAGAGTTGAAATTAATCCTGCATGGCGGGTTCTCGCACGTTCCATCTGCCCTGACCACTAAAACGACAGCAAGCTTAGCCATGCCTGCTTTAGCAGAGCTGTTTTTTCGACAAACATGGCCAAATCTACCTGCAGGCCTTCCCATAAGTCTGCCACATGTAGCGGGCAGGACGACACAAACTGACCCAGATTTTGCGACCCCGGGCCTTGGGAGTCTGGGGAGGCTGTGGAGCTTGTAGAAGCTCGTGATCACCATGGGCGTGACGGCACTCCTGCAAAGAATACATCATCATCATCATCATCAACCTAACACATGTTGACAGCGGCAGCACAATCACACAGACATAGCAAGTTGCAAGTTGTCAAAGCATTTGACGGCAGCCGTTTACTCCTCACCCAGTCGGCAACGCCCGTTCAGGTGGAACTTGCACTGCGATGTCTGCAAGCAGAACCCGACGGCACGCTTCTGCAGAAGAAGCCAGCAGCCGTCCGTGGGCTGCAGTCTTTTGTTGTACTTCGGGCCTTGAAGAACTTCTTGGTCGCACGGAGCTGCTCCGGGTTGTGAGCAAAGGAGCATGCAGGATCGTCGCAGACACCGGTGGTTGCGAACTTGCCTGCAACATCAGATGAGGAACCCTGCCTCACTTAATGTGGGCTATGCGCAGTTTGTGGAATGAGCGTAGGTTCATGTCGAGCTTTCGCAGCGGCTGATATGTCCATCTTTCTTGGGACTGGAAATGCAGCCATGCCACGGCAAAGCGATGTGAACGAGAGATCGGGACGTGCTTGCAGCCTGCAGACCCAGAGCCAGCTCAGTATTGGGAGTGGGAATAGCATAGGCTGAGGGACCGAGTGGGCAGACGTGTCTGCAGTGCATTTATCATCCTGCGCTCTCGAATCGTCTAATTACGAGGCGAGAGACTCAGACGTGCCGTGCGCGTACTTGCAGTTGCTGCCCCGATTGCACTTGCCCTTCTCGAAGAACGAGCACTGGCGAGTCTTGTAGAACCTGATGACTGCGCAGATGGTTAAGTGTTCTGCTTCTCTTTCTGCCGAGTCGCTGCAATTCATAGCGAGCTCGGTCCTTGTTGCTGGCCTTCGGAAGCTGAATGAATGACCAAACCATAAAGCAAATCTATGACGAGTTGCCGGCCTGTGGAGGCGCGAGCTTCTCGGAGGTGGCAACGTCGGCAAACTCCACTGTCATCGTCATGAAGAATGGCTTCCTGTGGGATAGTTCCGCCGGACACTGTTGTGCCAGGCTTCGAATAACTGGGAGCCTCGCAACACGCTCGCAGACTTCGCACTTCGCCAGTTGCAAAATTGTCTTGAGCCGCAGCAGCAGCAGCAGCAGCAAGTCGCGAATGCCACATTCACAAGTTGAAAATCTGTGACAATACGAACAGCAGTGTTGCATCATGTTCCGATGTCTTGCACATCGCCTGAGTTGTCGAAATCTGGGAGCTGTGCAGCGAGCGCTGCGCGCAACTCGGCGTTATTTTGCTCGACCTGTGCAGCTGAGACAGCGTGCACTGCTTGGTGACCTAGGGCCTAAGGAGTCTGACGAGTGTGGCGACCCAGTTGACATCCGCAGATCCGCAGCGGCAGCTGTGTGGTTGCTTGGGGCTTAAAGCTGTACGTCGGTACGTCATGCGGTAGTCTCTTCTGAAAAAGCATCTGCAGAGGGAGCCTGCCCGTAGCTCACGGCCATGGACCTTGCTGCGTTTTTTATGAGCTGGGAAGGGTATATACGGGTATGGCAGATCTTAGGCAGCTGCTGGAGTTGCAGCTCCAGCTCGGAAACTGCCACTCGAAGCCTTTACAAACGCCGGCCGCGTCTCGCGTCTGCAGGATTCAAAGTCCCAGTCTCGGTTCCCAGCTTCTGACGCTCCTGTTCAAGTCGACCCACACGCTGGTCCAGCTGGCATTCGGCTGCAATCCCGCATCTTACTGGAAAGTCTCGTGCCATTCTGCGCTACTGGCAATCCATCTTTCACCAACCCCACCCGCCTCTTGCTGCAGCTCATTCACTTCCAAATGCAATGCCTGCAATTAAGAGCAGATCAGGTCAGCAGCCACTGTTCTGCTGGCAGTTGACGCATGCGCTACCAACCTTGTTCTCCATTTCCAAGGCATCCGCCTAACTGAACCATGCGGGGAATGATATCAACAATCGAGCCGCTTGCTTTATTGAATAAGCTAGACATTTTTGAATAAACGTTCAGTGAAATGCAGTGTTCACACCTTACGGTCTGCATCCTCTGCACGTCTGTACATGTGCTCGATGCAATTCCCTGAAACTTTGCAACCAGCGACCCTGGTCTAACTGGGGTCCTGGGGCTTCTCGAGGAGCGGCTGATCCGTCAGTCGCAGCTCCGACTGAACTTCCTGGCAAACACCTGCCTTAGATGCATGACGCTCGGCCATGCACAAGAAGGTGGCCAATTGGCTTCGCACCCCTGCGCACGTTTCATCCGTGAACTCCTCGTGCAACTCCAGCTCAGCCCTGAGTGCTCGCAGATCTGACAACGCAGATCCTACCTTCGCCACGTACTCTTCGCATCCCACCCGCTCCGACTTGGGGTCGCTGAGAAGCAAATACTGCCTGCAAGTCTCAACGTAACGCTGTAACATCACACCCTTTCGAACAGCTCTGCCCAAGTTCGTGTTCTGCTCCAGGCCGTGTGATACCGTGAGGTCCTGACATGTCGCACGGGCTTCCCCATTAGCCTCGTAGCGCGTTATCAGCCGTATGCGTCCAGCAGTCGAGCTGCAGCCGGCTTTCTGAGGCTTCAGTCGGAGAAGAATCAAGCCTCCTTCGACGGAGCCCTCTGCGGAAATGCTGCTGGGAAAAACAGTGTCGATGCGGACTACGGAGCGAACTCCGGCATCCAGGAAAGAAAAAATGCTCTGCAACGCAGGCATGGGAAGCACCACTCCAGAAATCCTCTGAATGCACAGCATTAATGCTTTGGCCGTCTGCTTGAAGCCTGCCGGATAGTATCTGTGTGTGCTGGGCATCCACTCTGCTTCGATCGTCTCTTCGCGAGTGTCGAGAGCCGTGCCATACACAGCCAGAAGCTCAAAGACATCACTTTGGTGAGTGACTTGCACATCAAACGCGGCAGGAAAGAAATTCCAGTCGAAGTTCGAGACGGCGATTTTGTGCAGCTCCTCCTGGCGTGTCATACAGAAGTAATTTGCTCCACGGTGTTTTGTGACCACTTCTGCCAAAGACGAATTGAATTGTGCCCCGATGCCCACGAAAGATACGTAAAGTCCCCTGTCAGCCTGGGACGCCACTAGGTAATCCAGTTGGTCAGGGTTCAGGTCATCCATGTCCGTTAGGAACAAGAGCCTCCGGTGTCTGGAGCCGTCTGTTTCCCCGGAAATTTTGATCGCAGCCTCCATGCCCGCGGCCAGCGTTGTGCCGCCTCCTGGTGTCATTGCAGCCACGCGTGCATCCAAGTCCGTCAGCTCTGACACATAGGTCAGCTGCTGAACAACGTGACCTTCTCTTGTGAAGGTTGCAAGACCGAATCGGTCATCGCCACGCAGCCGAGCAACCAAAGCAAGCAGAGCATCTTTTGCCAAATCTAGCCGGGAGGAAATGCAGTCGCTTCCACTTACCGCACGGCTCATGGAACCCGACACATCCAGCACAACGACCATGTCCATTGGTACACTATCTCGCGGTTGACCGTCGCGACATGATTTCAGGAAGCAGCCGACCCAAACTTCATCGGAATGTCCGGAAAGACCGCACACAGCATGAGCATCCACAGAGAGAGTCTCTTTGGTTTCCGGCCCACCAGTGTAGAACGAATGCTCGTTGAAAACACCTGCTGACATGGCTGGGTTTGGCTACGGTACTGGGGAGTGGAAGGGAAGCCTCAACTAAAAAGTTCTTCACAGGCAGGCCCTACCTTGGTATGTCAAGCTGGCGGCTGAAGGAAGACCGTGCGGACTGTGCAATTCACCTTCTCGCAGCGCTGCCTGGAAGGCGTTGCTGTCCATTGCACCCATCGACGCTCCACAGCCCATTTTGTGTCTTGGGGTGAGGGCTGGTGGCTACCGGCTCCTGTTGAAAACCAGCCCCGTCTGCGGGCATGTGCACAAACCACAATGCTTTGCACCTCAGCGGGGCCTGCTTTTGCAACAAGCTCGCATATTAGTGACATGGCCTTGTCTGCCAGGGCCGCAGAACTTGCTTTCAAGGTGCGGTTCATGAAGGCTTCAACCTGCAACGAATCTGTGCGAATCGCATTATTCAGTTCAGTTGGCTGAGGTTATTTGTGTCTGCGTGGAAGGGACAGTCTGGACAAGGATTCTCACTGCATTGGTCTACTCTTCCGAGACTCTTCTGCGCATCATCGCCAAACCACTATACTACTATTTTGCAGCAAAAAGCAGTGCAAACACACGCAGAGCCTCCGAACGGAGCTGTTCGTTTTCATGGCCTAGACAAGTGGAACACGACTTGCCATCCCCTGGCCGTGGCCCTGTACTGACTGGCTTGTGTCTGAGAGAGAGGCGGACCTCTCGCAGGTCTGCGTCCTGGCCGTACTGAAAAAATCGCCGCTGCACCGGACTCGGGTTTCCTCTCTTCTGACAATTCAGCCTTTTTCGAAGAGAGACGGGCCATGCAAGCGGAAGTAATCCTGCACGCCACGCGGGCGCATCAGCTTGCAAGGCCAATTTCAGCCTTTAGCTGCTTATCACCACACCCTCCACATTACGAGATCCGCCGATACCCAGGGTTGGAACACTTGCAGAACACATCACGCTCGGTGTGCATCGAAGAGCCATGACAGGGCTCGAGCAAGATCTACTGGAGCTAATAAGTGCAATTCTTCTGAGACTGGATCAGTGGCCAGATCAGAAGCATGCCGACAGAAGAAAACCATTTCGTCTTGCAACACGAATCTGTCAAGCAGCAGTATGACGTCTGTAGCTCGGTGGCTTTCATTCTTCTGCCGTTTGGAAAGCGTTAGCAACAAAGCAGAGGTTGTCCATGGGTTGTGTTATGCCGGACGGGGCAATCGTCTGGAGTGCAATCCAATCCCAGCCGTAATTGACAAGCTCTGCACGTAGCACATCAGCCCGGCAGCTTGAAGCCACTGATGCTATCCTTGGGCAAAGCTATCTCGGTGCTCTGTGAGATAGAACAACAGCATACAATAACGGTGCATAGTCGAAATATTGCCTTGCGCGTAGATGCCTGCAGCATTGTGTACCCATTAGAAGACGGACGAAAAGCCGTGCACCGCCCATGCATCCAGAATATCTTTAGGTAAGAAACACAGCTCCGCCAAGAGGCGATCGAGGCTCGATCTGCTGCAGGAAGTCCTGCCTCGTTGCAGCAGGCGTGAAGGTCCTCCACCATCCGCATCAAGGTCTGCCAGAAGAAGCACGGTTCCAACGCTCAAGGCTACGGGGCTCTTCACTGCCACTACGTACTTTGCACCTCCTTTTGCTGAGCCAGCTGTGACTTTTCATCTTCCAATTCCTTCCGTACTAGAGAAAGGAGCCAGCAACATGGTCGTAGAAATCATCGTGCCTCGAGGAGCGCTTGCAGCTTTTGGTTGCCTTCTCGTCGTTCTGTAAGTGCTCTGGAAGCCTCGACAGCAGTGTTGGCACAGCCACACACAGGCGCAACACACAAGGCCTCGTCGCGCTCTCTTCGAAGTGCACGAATGCGGATGTTCGCTGCCTGCAGGCAGAAAGGCGGCTTGAAGCAGTCAACTGCTCAGGTCGGCTGCTCGCGGCCGGGAAACTTGCCTCGATTTTGTTGTTCGCTTCTTCACCAAGCTTTGAGAGCTCTACCTCGCCAGGCAACGCTCCAAACCTCTCACCACGAGCGCCATGAAGTCTGGTCCTCCGCACCTCATAGCTTTGCAACTCTCCACGGAGCTGAGCACTTAGACTTTGCTGCAGCTCGAGCTCCTAACGTTCCGTTCGCACTCAGTCAAGTATACACGACAACGCATGGGCCTATAGGCAATGAAACTGATCTTCCGGCCTTATGAGAATTGAAGAAGACCACCACAAGTGTACAGTCGGAGGTACAAGTTTCAGCACGAAACAGTGGTCTTCAACGGCATCAACCGACGCCGTTTAGAACTGTGCAAGCCGAATCCTTGTGGGCTTCTGCTTCGCGCCCGCGCCTCCCAATGCACAAAAACACTTTGGGTCACTGACACGAACTGACGCATCTTTTCACGTAGTCCCGCGTGGTGTGCGCCTTCTCTCCAAGTTTGCTCGTCAAGTTTATACCATCCTTTCTGCTGGTAGGCTTGCCGGACAGCTGCTTTAAAGCTCTTTCTTTCTCCAGGCTTGAGGGCATGCCCCCGCTGGGGCAAAGCTCTCTCTCTCTCTCTGCCAGGTAGGAAAGAGGCTCTCTCTCTCTCTGTCCCCCTCCTCCTGGCTTACAAACCCACAGGCAAAGAAAGGCTGATTCTTGCGTCGCATAGCTTCCCGAACAGCTTCACGGACTGTGACATCGAGCTATAACACTCTGCACAGTGAACACACCTACAATCGGCACGCAGGAGCCCTTGCTTTTTGGCAGGGCACTGGCAGGCGGCGGTCAGGTCAGGTCCCTCTCGCCTTGCGGAAGGCCTTACCTGCCACCCCCACCAGTTTTTGGGCGGAGGGCGGGTGTCTTGAAAGAAGCATGCTACTTACAGATGCTCAAGCTCGAAAGGCAACTGCGCAGAGGTTGTGCTCGCAAATGTCACTGCGTGCACTCCGGGCACTACGCGACATCGAGCTATAACACTCTGCACAATGAACACACTTACAATCGGCACGCAGGAGCCCTTGCTTTTTGGCACGACACGGGCAGGCGGCGGTCAGGTTAGGTCTCTCTCGTCCTGCGGAAGGCCTTACCTGCCACCAAAGGTGCGACGCCTGCACTCCGCCACTCGCACCGGAAGCCCTAGGCCCCAAAACCTAACACGAGGCCGTAATCAAAGACCCCTCACACGCACTCAGAGGACCCGCAAGACAAAGCTCGAGAATCTCGCGGAAGATCTTATCCCGATCAGCATCCAGACGCTTCCAGCCTTGGTTCTCGGCCATGGAGAAGTCGAAGCGACTTACAACTTACTGCATCAGCCACATTTGCCGAACGGCACACTGGCTGCCACTCGGGCTTCAAGCTGGCCTCCTCGATGAACAGCCACGCCATCTGCAGCAAACGGTTCAACTGCTCATCTCTCGCAAAACCTTTCATCAATGCATGTCTCGCAGGTTCGTTGTCGACGAACACCAAACAGCGGCGATCCAAATGCTCACGGGCTGCCACCAACGGGAGAATCTGCGCAAACCAAGCTGGTACAGACCCAGCTGCATAGAACACGCAACTGCTCACCCGCACCACGAATCCCCACCCATTTGCAAAGGTGGCCGGGTGCTGTGTTCCCCAGCTGGGCGCAGGCTCTGCCTCACTCACCTTGTAGCGCTACCCCCCAAGCTCGAAGAAGGCGTCCGCATAGATGATGGATCTGCTAGCCACATGGCCTCGCGGTGGCAAAGCGATGTCTTAAAAATGCTATGGACATCCTCAGCGCCGGCCCCAGATGCCAATCCCTTTCCTGAGCTGGGAAGTGAAGCGCGTGTGCAGGAGCATGAAAGGGCCTAATAGCAGCTGCAGACGACTTGCCGAACAGGGACGTGGAGATGAACCGAAGCTTGCCTGCCAACGCCGATGCCTCCCTTGGCGTGAGCTTGTCCTCGAGGAGGATCTGCAGAAGCAATGTGTCCATGCGCAGACGCCGCTCGTCAGTACACTCGATGACGGCTCTCGACTGTTCTAACCGCAAGGTGACGCCAAACAGTTGGTGCTGTGGTGCAGGAGGCTGCGCCTTGCTCTCTTTGTATCTTGCCCCAGGATGCTTCCCCAGCATCTGCACACCTTCGAAGGAGCTGGGCGCCAAGTCGTCGGTCTCGACACCCCCAAAGTCATCTACGAAGTGCAAAGCCGGCGTGAGCAAAACACACCTCCCCAACCAGGTCAAAAAGTCAGCAAAGCAGCAGTACGATTATATGGACGCGGTGCTGCCGAACATCAGCACGTTGTGCCGCGGGGCCATTGGGCGTCTGCAGCACCACATACGTCTGCTGCGGGTCCGTTGCAGGCAGCTGGCGGTAGGCGGCCTCATGATCCAATCTCCATGTACTCAAAGGACCACCCACACGCCTTCTGATCACTGCGGCAAGCTTTGCAAAGGCTTCAATGTCACGATAAGCTGGGGTGTCAGGCACACCTACGGTACTGTTGGCACCCGGCTGTCTCCAGTCCTCTGCTCGCCTGATCTTGGCGCGCCCGTCGGCCCCAACTGCTACGGAGCACGGCACATGGTGGTGTTCTGGGCCGGGAAGAAGGTTGGCGGTGTGCACGAACTCCGGAAGCGGCACTGTCGCCTTGCCCCAGCACGCTGGCGCGGCGAAGGGTCCCTCCATGCGTCCGGCCTTCACGTCGGCCGCAATTTCAGCAGCCATGGATTCCCATGCCGCATCATGCTGCATCCACTTTGCCCCGCCGAAGCTTGCCGCGAATGTGCTCCAAGTTGTCGTTCAAGAACGCATGCATGGGAACCGGGTTGCTATAACGCTGGTCATGCCGAAGACGCCATCCCATCCGAGCCCGGGACTAATGCAGCCACGGAGCGGGAAACCTCCGGACAGCTCAAAACGCGATTTGTCCGGCCACTTCAACCTCTGCGCCAAGTACTGGAGCACCAGAACCTGGAGAGAGCAGTTGCGCTCCTTCGACTGATGGGGTTTCTGCACATGCTCAGGTCTACTCGCAAACCACTCATCGACATCTGGCGCAAGCTCCTCAACCAACTCGGACACGCCACGCACAACTTCCTTGCGCAGCTGTGGCAACGCGGGCCGCCAATGCAACCACAGCCGCAACCACTGCTCGAGCCCCGGTTCAATGCGCGGCACCTGCTGCGCCGAGTGCAAGACGGCGGCTGAGGCCTCCCAATGCTCTTTCACGCTCAGGATGCCCGACAGGTCCAACGCATCCCCAAGCACTGGGACACCCGGTCCTGCCAACAACGGGGCGGACTGCCACAAGCAGACCATGAAGTCGATAGCATTGCTGCCCCATGCGCTCTTGAGGAATCGCCACATTGACTGGGACTTGTGCGAGGAAAATGCTGAGCATCACGAACCATCTGGCTGCGGAGATGTGTCAACCAGTGGCGATAGTTCTATGCCTTGAATGATCAGGAAGTGTCTTTGTCCAACCACGCGGCAAATGGTGCAACTGCTCTTTGATGTCAGCCGTGGCCAGCTGCCACTTGCCGTCAGGGTTGACGAACATGTTCTCTTCTTCATAGTGTCACGGAGCAAATCGGCGATTGTCGCCGATCCACCTTGTCCGCGTCTGCCGTCCATCTTTCTTTTACAACTTCGAGGAGCTGGGCGCCCAGAAGGATCTTCGGCCGGCGTGGTCATGCAAGGCAACACTTTACGTTCTTGGGCGGTGACTGCAGGTAGTTTGAGATTCCCGGTGTCGAGCGCTGAGAGGTCATCCGGCTCCACCACAAAGTGTACCCGCGGGAGGCCTTGGTGAGTGGACCATTTCAACTTCACCGGGGCATCGGCCTCATTGCTAAGTGACTGCCACGCCACCCGCGTCCACCACAGACGAGGGCGTGCCACAACTCCAAAATCTGCAGTCTTGAAAGAAGCATGCTACTTACAGATGCTCAAGCTCGAGAGGCAACTGCGCAGAGGTTGTGCTCGCAAATGTCACTGCGTACACTCTGTGCACTACGCTCCAAGGACGCAGTCTGCAAACATCTGCAAGCTACAGGTTTCTTTCTTCGACCCCTCGCAGCGAAGCAAAGATCTTAGAGCTCGTCTTTCGGGCAGCTGTGCCTCGCCAGCGCGGCTTCGGTCTGCATTGCGAGGCCTCTTGCCTGGTCGGGGAGCGCCGTTATGCACAGTCCGCGGAGACTGCTCCCTAGGGTCTCCCGTGGTCTCCCATTGCCGCCTCTTCGAGCTGACGACTTGTCCGCTCTTCCAGCAGAGTCCTGGCTGGGGCAGAGCGTGAGATCGGCAGATGTCTGCAGCCTTCCACACTTCACACCCGTGACTCACACCACTCGCTTCATATCAGCCCAGCTGCATGGACGGCTTCTGCCTCCACTGGTCTCCTGCAAGGAATGGGAGCCAGGCAGCTGGGCGGAAGGCGTGTCCGTATCACGCCTCCATTGAGAAGAACATCTAGCGCTTCTGCAGATGTGGGAGCGGTGGTTGCTCGGGAAGCCGACCTTGGTTTGCCACCCGCATTCCCGACAGGTCGCCCAGGCCTTCTGTGGCGAAATCCCCTCTGCACTTCGGAGGCCGCGGCTGTAGCTGCTCCTGACATGATCAGAACGATGCTAGACATGCGAAGTGAGTGCGCGCTGTGCGCTAGCAGCCGCCCCCAATCGTCAAAGAATTGCAGGAGCCAGATGGAGCCAGTGAAGGCAGGTTTTCTGGTGCTCTTGGAGTGGCCTGCAGCAGCTCAATCTCCTGGGCCTGCTCATCAGCCTGGGCCTAAGAGCGGGTTACACTCATCTCCAGTTTTTGCCACTGAAAGATCGGCTCTTGAAGGAGCACCTGGGCACTTCACCACGTCACCCTTCTGAGCACTGGGACTGAAGAGGTTGCTCAAGCTGGCCCGCGACAATTCATCAAATCGCGGAGATGCGCAGCGCGTCTAGCATTGTTTAGCAAGGTACCCGCATGACCTAACGCGAAATGCGAATGCCTCAACTTGCTAGCTGCGCTACTGAGATGGTGCTCATCGTTGTCTTGACCGTGGACATGCAAGTGCGTTGGCACAGAGGTCAGGCACATTCAGGCGCGCATGCTTTCGTGCATCTGTACACGCAGCAAAACCACAGCGCACGCATTGTAACTCAGGAGACGAAGTGGCCGAGAAAGCGAGAGAGAGTCAGCAGGGGGAGGGAGGGAGATAGAGAGGGAAATGGGAGAGGCGGTGTTCTTACGAACTCCTACAGCATTAACCCAAGAGCAACTGAGATTGAGACCCTGAGATGCATAAGTCGCTGGGGGAGGTCGCCGGCTCCGTTCTGCTGGGCCGCAGCCTGTCAACGGCAAAACCACATTCGGCAACACACCATGCCGACATCGACGGAATCGTGGTGCTCAAAGGCTGGCTCGTCGACAACCCCCTGAAATCTACTAGTCGTGCTATTCCCTACTATTTAGGTGCAGCTCGAAGGGCACTTACAGACTCACACATGGCTTCAGTCCGGCAAGGCAGAGGCGCTGAAGTCAGACGGGTCGCCTCGAGGTTCTGGGCAGTACACCTCGAAAAAGTCGCCCAGGTCTCCACATGTCTCCACACTCAACGTGTCAAGACCATCTCATGCTTCCTTTCTGAGGGGGATGCAAGCTGAGCCGATTGCACAGCGAACCGGGCGTGCCACTCAAAATCAGACAAGCCACATGACAGCATGTTGCTGCTGTGATCGCAGAAGCGGGCCCCATCGCTTGATGCGATCTTGCCTGGCATTAGATGCTCGTGGTCTCTCCGTGATTTCACAGCATGTGGGCCTCGGCAAATCTTTCGTCCACAACAGTCTGTCAGTCTCAACGAGTTCGTCTGCCCGGCAAAGGGAGATACAGGCCTGCCAGCTCAAGAAGCTGCTGGGCATGGCTCACTCACCCAGGCATCCTGAAGGCCTTGGGCTGGAAAAGCTGTCGCGGGTTGCTCATGATGCCCTGCCATCATAAGACACAAAACGCTGACCTCCATATCTAGAGAGTTTGGGACGCGCAGCATTCGGTGCGAGAAGAGACTGCGACTTACTCATCACATAGACCTGTTCCATCTCGCACTGAAAAGTGCAATGCGGCCTGTAGGAAGGACTCTGAACTGTTCATGGCAAACGGATTGCCGTAGCCTGCAGTGGCTCCAAAGAGATGAGCAACAGCACGCTGCACCGCCCCTGTTATCCAAAGGTATGAACTCTCAGTTTGATGTGGCGGCAATCCTAGTGGTCGGTCCCAGGCAGTGCCTAGATGAGCCACGGAGTCGTTGAGTCCTGCACTTTCCAGATTGACCTTAGTACTCTGCTCACTGAAGCCTCCAACAGCGCCACGTCGCGAGAGCATCCTCATTGTCCGATCTATGAGGGCCAGGCCCAGGTGAAGTACAACATGCAGTTGCAAAGGTCGGACAAGTGACGAAGAGGAATGCGCACCTTGACGTTACTGAACATTGAAGGCATGGGGTGCAACACTGTAGAATGCGTGATGGATATCTAGAGTCTCATGGCCCGGCATATCATCTCAGGCCTCACCCAGCGGCCGCTTTTCTGCATGCTTGGAGAAGGGCGGGCTGTCTCGCGTGGCCCAGACCTGATATCAAGCTTTCTGGTAAGATCGCAGGCGTTGAATCCTGAAAGAAACGGCCTGCCTTCAGGACAAGAACGCCATCCTCTGCCTGAGACCTGCCCGGACAAGAACGACCACAAAGCCTTCAAGAAAAACGCACGAAGAAGAGCCCCGCTTCGCAATGGCAATCGTGCCAAGGCTGTGAAGTTCATCGCCAGCCACCCGGTGCTCAGAGTCAGAGAGCCTAACTCCGCGGGACCACGGGAGAAAGTCTGAAATCTGTCTCCGATGCTCCGACAGTTGTGATCAGTGTTTCGCCAAGTGAACGGCGTGATGCCGAGTGTTTCGCCCACCTGTGTGTTCACGCAGCGCACCTCTGGCAATTGCACTCTCTGCTCTTCGGTGAAAGAAGGAGGATGATACATACCGCAACCGCACGCTCGAACTGGCACTGGAGCTGAAGCTATCGCATCTCATCTGCGGAGATGCTGACAGCGGGCAGCACCGATCAGATATCGAAACAAAACGCACGGAGAGTTGAGAACGTCCATGTAGTCCGCCGAGGGGCAGGCCCAGGCGTATTAGGGGGTTAACTCAGGTGCCCTCCACCTAATCCTCCTCCCTGCAGTCCGAAAGTTTGGAACCAACCGCTTGTCGCGTTCATTTCCCAACCACTCGCCAGTTTTTTTCATCCTTTTTCAGCCGTCCCCCCCGGTCCCCCCCCCCGCCTTGTCCTGCTGTTTTTTGGACTTGTCCTAGTCCCCCTCCGTCCGTTGCCCCCCTCCCTCCCACTGCTGCATCCGCTCGAGTTCCGGCACCGTGTTGGTTTCCGGCAAGCCGAGGCCGGCGGCGTAGCGTCAAAACTAGATTGTGTGTGGTCGCCTGCCTCATGGCAAATGGCGGCAATGTCAAACTTGCCAAGGCCACCGTCGAAAATGGCGCACGCCTCGATCGGGTCTTCACAGCGTCACAGCGAAACAACGGAAAGGCCGCAACTAACCGAACAGCAAAGCGAGGTGAAGCGTTCTCTAGCGCAGTCGAATCGCCCTGCCAACGTTGAGGCTCCTCAACAAGGCATCCACCATTTTGCTACATTGGGGGAAGAACTGCTGAGAGTTTGGGTCAAATGAGAGGCTCGCTGCATCACTGTGCAGTTAGTTGCAATGCCGAAGACAAGAGCAGTGCATCGGCTTACATAGGTACGACCCTAAGCCCTAAGCCGTTGAAGGTTTTCAGGCTGTGCAAAGCCCGCTAGATTGCTTGAGCCCTCACTGGCTGCAGCATACCAGTTGAAACCTCTGGAAGGCAGTATGGCCAAAGAAGATGATACCTCAATCTTCCAAGCTGCACCTGGACTCGGATCAACTGCTTGTAGTGTTCAGCGACATCTTCGCTGAGACCACCCCCACCAGAACCTGCAGCTCCGCATTTCACTGCGTGCGCAAAGCTTGATGCAATCAACACGAGGCATTGTGGCAGCAGCATGCAGCCTTCTGCAACATAAAGCTGCACCATGCGACGCTGCACAGCCTATCACCACGCATCAACAAGCACTACCCTCAAGACTGCCGCTGAAAAGGATCACGAAGGATGAGAAGGTCTTGGCATCCTGCGCGCTGCTGCTCTCGCACAAAGATTCGGTAGTGGCCATTATAGCAGCCTCACCACTTCAAGTCGAAAGGCGAAAGCGGTTTCTAGAGGTGGAGGTCTGCCTTGTGAAGCTTTTATAAGCCAAGGAGCGGAAGTCAGCCAGGCCCCTCGGTGGGCGCCTGGGCAGAGCTTTTCCGCATTCGCAGAGGACTTCAAACAGAACTGAGGTCGACGCTGCAGTGCCTCTGACCTCCAAAGTGACTCCACCTCACAACTGAAGCCGTGGCACCGACACAGGCAAGCTGTGGCTGCCTTGCGGCCTTGTGCTGATAGGCCTCGATGCCTACACCTTGGACGGCTGCGCTGAGTGGACTAAACCTCTGGCTACAATGATTGCGAAAGCTTGGCCGAAAGCGTCGAGCAATGAGGGACATCAGTGCTGTCACATCAGCCTGGCCGGGATGCAGCTCGAAACCGCCAGTTTCAACGCCTCAGCTGAGTACCGCTTGGGCACCTCGGTGTGCTCCGCTTTGATGCAGGCGCCCATGACCAAACAAGCGATACCTCCAGTAAGCTGATGAACTCAGAACTCGGACCAGTGAAACCCTAGTTAGCGAAACCGACATACCATGGGCCGCGACCCATACGACTAGCCCGACACAGGAACCTACGCATCTTCAATTTTTCCCCTGCGGCAGTGCAGTGCCATGAGGCGATCTGCACCCCTATCCAAACATGTTCCCTCCGATCTACGGCACTTTCTCTGTATGCCTCCTCACTTAGGCCAGCATAAACATGGCAGTGAAGAACCGGCAAGAACAAATGTACCTGGGGCTCCCCCCAACCCCGTAAGCACATTCTTCGTTGCTGTGCGTTGCTCGGGGAGTCCCTGACCCCAGACCCAGAGCATTGCTTGACTGTGGTTCGAGTTCGGCCACGGTGCTGCCTGCAGAACTGGGCCAAGAAAACACAAGCCGCTTCGAAGCTCTGGGGCCTGTGGCTATGTTATGGCTCAGACGGCTCATGCCGCGGGTTTTAGGTCAATTCGGATCGTGCCAGCAGCCGAGGCCCCCGATCTACGTCCATGTCTGGGTGACTTGAGTGCCCCAGCAAACCGAAGGGAAGGTACCGAGGTCCCGAGTTCAAGATGCGGGAACATTTCTGCTTTCCCATGAGGTCACTCCGCTTATAAAATCCGTGTCTAGTTACTAGTTTCTCTCAAGGGCTTCTCAGGATTTCTTGCCGTGCTGGCAAACCCAGGATTACACAAGAAGAGCAGGTAATACAGCTTCAGCTGGAAGAGCAGCATGTTCAGCTGCATGACTTCGCCGAAGAGCAAGTCCGTCTGAAGCATTGAACAACTTCGTGCTGCAGGCGCCTTCAATCTGAGTGCCGCAGACCGGACCACATCCTCGATGCCAGTACCCAGCAGATACGTGCACCACTGTCAGAGATGCTGCAAGCCATCGCCCTTCTGAGTGTATGTCGGCCATCCAAGCAAGTGAGATCGATGGCCTTAGCAGACTTCAAGATCGGGCAATAGAGCATTGCTTTGCTACCAGCCGTGACTTGGCGAATGAGGATGCTTGCCAGGGGTATCATGACAGGCGAGGTTGCGAAGCTCCCCAGCACTGACGGGCAGGTTGCCTCTGCTGCGTTGGCTAGCGCACACACACACACACACACCACAGCAACCAAGCAAAACAAGATGCGCTTGTCTGAGGCCAGGTGCCAGCCAGTATAAGAGAAGCTTCAGAAACGCCAGGAGGGTACTTACCTTCAACCATGCAGTGTCTGTGCCGCAAAGCTCTTGAGCAGGCTTCACTGTAAGGAGCATGCTTCCTGCGAAGGACTCATCAAGTCTTCCGCCTCGCTACGAGATGCTGCGACGACGAGTCCCATGGCCGACGAAGCCAAAAACATGTTGCGCTGGATCCCCTTTCATGTTAGAAAAAGGAGATAGACGGAGATAGTTATAATGCATGAAAGGAACCAGAGATTAGTTACTAAAGATGAACATAAGACAAATAACCAGATACATATACATATAACTACGTGAACAGAACTAAGATGGCATTCGCTTGAAATTGCATAATGGATAAGTTCTCGTTTATGAAGCAAAACAAGATGTTGTTCCTTTAAGTTCGCAATCGTTCATCATAATCTTATTTTCATTCCATTAAAGAAGACATGGAATGAGAAGAAAGATGAAGGAGAAACCAACGAACCATCCACATAAAAGACATACATTGTAACCCCTGGCAAACTAAGGTGCGGTTTTGATGGTGAGAACCAAAGGTCAAGATAATGACGCAAACACGCATTCATTTCATTCTAGTGTTTTCTTTTAATTCCTTTAGTAATTTGATCCTCTGGCCCTGATCTCACACTCGCTTTCCCTTAGGTTTGTTCTTTTGTGTCGGGCTATTGAAACCAGGAGTTCGTTGTATTTAAATAGTGAGCATTCAAGGTTCAATCTTACTCCGTGAACGCTTTTGCTTAGCCGAGAACACCTTAGGACCCTAACAACCGTTTGCTCTCAGACACCGTCATGGCGAGCGCTCCTGGCCTCTTGATCATGAGATGCCATGCTCTTCCTGCTCACCAGGCGAAAGCATGCGACATGTGACCGCGACTGCACGCCTACAGTATTGCAGTCGCCAGCGCGCTCCTGACTGTAGCTGAGAAAGCTGCGAACCTCGGCTCAACAAAGTGTGGTAGCAGCGGTAGCATGCGACGACGTGCAGCGTCTTTCCGCAGTTCTCTGAAGAGCATCCGACCCATGCTCACCAAGGTCCCTGCAAGAGCTCTTGGAATGTTTTGGCCGGGCCAGCGTCGCTCGGGATCAAGACCGGCATGGTGGTGCAGGCGCTCTGCACCTCAGGTGCTTCTGTTCCCCTAAGCGGCTTGCGGCTCGATGCAAGATCGTGCTTGCAAAGTTGGACGCATTTAAGGTGGACGGACCTGCACCACCTTCGCAACATTCAAGTTGCTGCATGTATGAGAGGGATTGGAGTACGGGTGGCCTGTCAAGTATCTGCGCTGCGGGTTCTGCTGATGTGACTGTCATTCTCGAGTCCGTTGGTGTGCGAACGGAAACAAAACTTGATGAGGAGACTGATATGCGGCAAGCTGACCAATTAACATAGTGAGCAAAGAGGTCGGGTTTCAACCGTTACAGCAGACGAATCTGGCGTGCGGTGCCGGGTACCCGCAGCAGCACTGCTGAAATGTGCACGTCGATCTGACTAACCATGCTTTGGAGCAGCCAGGTACTTGTACATATGACGTATTTCTCCATGGTAAGATGGGCGGATGAAGGCGTAGCTTCATGTGCCAGTGAGCAAAAGTGCCCGCTGCTGAAAGGGACGACCCATGTAGCTTGAAATGATCTGCGTACATTCAACACCTATGCCTTTCAGTCGTGGCTGAAGTCCCTTCAAAGGCACAGCACGCCGACTTTCAAAGCCAGCGAAGCAGTGACGTTTGCCTGCCTGTTAGGCTGAAACTTGTTGCATAGGCTCAATACGTCGCAAAAGGCCACAAGGTGCAGGTTTGCTGCTTCGGCATCGTAGACTGCCAACAACGACGGCTCAGCATTCAGTTCCGAACTGCGTGAAAGATCATCAACAATTGCCGCCACTCCAAGTCCCCTGCACTTGTGTTCCCACGCATCATGGCGAGCAGCAAGCTCAGCCTTGTCGACACATCGGTTTCGGGACGACAAGTACGGTGCATTCAAACTTAGTACATGGCGCAAACCAGCTCACCTCCACTGAAGCAGAACCACCTGTGCTGTCCGGCCAGGCAGTACCCTCTCATCCTTTCGAGCACCTAAATTCATTACAAGCTTTCCGACTGTCTTGGAGAGGTCCCGTTGCTTTCAGCCGGCCATGGGCCAGCCAGGCACGAAACTCCGTGTGCGACAGAAGAGAAACCCAAGCTACTCGACACGGGAGAAACCCCAAACTCTGCTCCCATGTCCAACTGTCTAGCCGCTAGCCGTTTGACACCGGCTATGTACTTGTACGGCAGATTAGCTCGCCTCCTCCAGAAAGGCAGGCAGCCTGCAGCTGCAGTGCAGAAAGAGGCAGAATGAAACCGTGGCGAACGCCTCCAGCACGTCCACAAGGAGACGTCCCGCCGGCCTCACCTGTCCACAACGTTGCAGGTCGGTATGGGTCGGAAGTTCTCAAGTCTGCACAGCTCGCAAGGCTCCTCAGGAGAATCTGCTTGGAGCTCTGGACTCAGTGAAGAGCACAGAAAGGACCTCGAACTTGTTAGCCAAGGGCCGTAAGCTTCCGATTCCAGAAGTGCAACGTGGCTGTCGCCTAGCACTGGCGGACCTGGGCCCGTAGAGGCCGCTGCGTGTAGGGACCGCTTCGGACCGATGCCCCTTTGAGCTTCCTGGCTTTGCCTAGAACGGCTGCCTTCAGCATCAGATGCGTCTGAGACTCTGCCTCTGGGTGCCTGACTGCAGCGAGGCATGTCTGGCGACACAGCGGCAAAGTACCCGTCCTAGGCGACTCGGAATCAAGTGCGACTTGCATGGCATAGCACCACGAAGCCGACTGCACGACCTCAAGGACGCAAAACAAATGTACACAACGTGACAGAGCCCACCGCCCAGCCCGAGAGCGATCGAAGCGATCATGACAACGGACTCGACTCTGCACCCGCGAAAACAGTGACGAGACACGGCAATTGGGAGGCGTGCGATGGCATGCCACTTCGTGCAACGGATTGGAGAAGCTCAGTTTGAGATGGTTTTCACATCGCAGGGCCCACGGCTTTCAATGATCCAAACTGTCGGCTCGGTACAGGGCTCTCCACGGAACAACGATATCGTGAAGCAGCTGCAGGTGAGCAGTTTCGTCTGAGAATGGTGCCAAGCGCGTTTCGAAGGCTTAGCCGTGTGACGGGACCTCAATCATCAGCTGATGATTGTGGTGTCGCGTGGACTTCTCCATTCTTGTTCAACTCTGGCTCCCACCCAGCAGCACTGCCGCCAGATCCTGTCATGAGAAGCGCATCAACGTCCCAATATATCAATCGTCTTATGAGTGGCTTACTGCGACCTGCAGCATCCTCTCGGAAACTTTGCACTTGGAATGTGCTGTGTTCGGTTGTTGGAGAAGCGACTCATCTGGGAACACCATGTCATCGCGGAATGCCAGCGGTGAAGGCGAACTATCGTGGACGCGCAGGTATTCGTTGCTTGAAAGTCTCCTGCTGCTCAGATTGGGCTCAAGAACCCTTCGAAGATATCCCAGTGTTTCTCTGGTGACCCTCCCGGGTATCGGGTATTGAAGAAAAGACAGCCACCACTCAAGCATACTCAATCAATGTCGGAGTTTGGTACATGGATGTCCGCGGTACTACATAGATTTTTCGAGACTCGAACTTTTGTGCCGATGCTCAAGCAGCGTTGGATTCGTCAACAAATACTCATACTGACTCCACAGCTCTTCGAAACTTGAAGCAACTCAGACTGCAATCAACCAGGTACCACGCTGCATTGGTGAACTACAAAGAGAAGGCAAGCAAGCAGCCAGCATTTATGCACGAGACGCTGCATCACCGCACTCCAGGTCAGATCCGTTACGACCTGGTTTGTTTTTAACCCCTCATCTAGTTGTTCTGACGCGTGAACATGTCCCTCTGACCCCGCAACCTTTTGCTGACTCCGGGTCCTGTTCTGAACGCAACATCCAAAAAATCTCCTCAAAAATTGGCTTCATGTCCAAAGCTCAACACCGAGGCGTTGTAACTTGCTGTTGTGCTAGGACACCACCGCCATCCCGGGCCCCTCCTCCCCCCCACCGCAAACCCATTGTTTTAGGCCTCGTCTCAGGTGAAGCCCTGCTTGATCAGCCCTTGCGACCCGTCCCCATCCTAATTGACCTGAATTGTTAGGGCCCCTGAGGCCCCTCCACTCCCCGGCATGAGACTAAGACTCCCCATGCTGGTGGCCTCCCAACTCACCAGTTCCGCTGAACCCGAGGCACGCAGGCAAGCACGGGTGCATGTGTCCTTTCCCCTCGTAATACGACTTCCAGAATGAATTTCTCAAAGGCTAGTTCAATCTCGAGTCCAATGCATGCGAGTCGAACTAGTCGAACTCTGCAATGGTTTGCGTAAATGGGAGTCAGCTGTTGCAGGTTTTGACGCGGTGCTCGGCAAAAAGCCTTACTTAGTGTTTGGGGGTTTGTGTTTTCGCGGAGGTAGTGGATTCGGTGGACATAACTTAACCCATTTTCGTGAAGGTAGGTCAAGGGCATTCCTTCGGCTTCAGGTTTTGACTTTCAACCTGCGGCGGAATCTTTGCCATCGGGTTGCACAGGATTTGTTGGGGAAAGGTTGGGCGGCTTGAACAAACGCGGGCCCTCTGATTTCAAGCTGAGAACCACTTCGTGCCTTTTGTTGTGCAGGACTAAAGGCGGGCAGCATCATACTACTGGTAGTAGTTCCTTGAAGGGATCGTGTCCGTGTAGCTCGCTTTGTAGTAAGCCCTAGAGAAGTAGAAGTTGTTGAGCCCAAACAGGTCGGCTGACAAAGAGCAGCGGTCTGCTGGAGTCTTGCTTGCCTCGCCCGAATCTTTGCAGGCGATCGGCAGCCTGCAAAGGGGTGCCGACAAAGGGGAAGTGCCCGGCGGCCGGAGCATGCCGCAGCCTGTGGGCACTTCTCAAGTGACTCGAAGAGCCGCACGAGCGTGAGCTGCGCAACCTCAGGAGCGAGTCGCGACAGAGTCGACCTTTCTACGCTGCAGATCAAAGCAGTGCAGTCCCGAAGTCCCGATGCTCGTGCGGCGCGGACCTCTGCCAGCTGCGGGTCGGAGAGGTGGCGACAGAGGTCCAGCGCACCCGCCTTGACCAAGGCGAGACCTCAACAAGGCCACCACACCTTCTATCCTCTACCTTTCTACCTTGTGTCTTTTGTGACGACGAAGTCACAGAAAGAAACCTTCTTAAATGCCGTTCGGGTACGGTTGGCCTCAGCTTCGGCCTCCGCAGCATCGTGAGGACTGGCCAGCGACAACGCCGCATCCACCAGAAGAGACAAGCAAGCCCAGCGAGACTCGCCAGGGATTTCTGGCCTCGTTTCGTTTATCAACGGAAGTGAAACCATAACCAATGGCAGGGCCGAGGATCCCACCTTTCGTCTTCTTCGTCCTCCTCCTCACTTGGTTTTCCCGTGACTGCTAAGGATATCGCGGACACGAGCGACGCCGCCCCATCCTGGCAAGCTGCGACTACAGTACAAGGCAAAACAGTCCACAACAATCCACACTTGGAGCTTCGATCAAATTCTTCCCAGCCGCCGTTTCGCGCAAGTACTTCTGACAGGTTGAATTCCCGACGATGTTCATCAGGCACTGCAGCAGATCTCGCGCAACTTTGCCACCCAAAGTGAGATCTTCGTCTTCCAGGATGGAGAAAACAGTTTCGATGAAACCCTGCACGGTAACAATAGTCCTGAGCATGCAGGCCACATTGCTTAGGAGGGATCATGCCCTGTTGCCGTGCTTGCGTGCGATGAACATCCGGGTCTGTCGTAACTGTCGGTTGACATACTGCCGGTCAGGTCTCTGAATGTCGGCATTGGCTGCCGTCAGCAGAAGTAGCAAACTAAGGCATTCGTTGCGCACATAGTCAATGGGTGATGTCTGCAGCACGTGCATCAAGTGGCCGAGGGACCTGGCTAGCTTCATAGCCATCTTTCGGCTTCAGCAACCACTAGACGACTAGCTGCCTCGGGTCCGCCAAGATCGCAGCATTGACGGGCTCAGGCAAACGGATGTAGATTTTCTGAAGCAGGATCATCGCATCATATTGTGTGGAAGTCTCGCCTCGGGGCCGAGCGACCCGCGACGCATCCCGACGTATCGCGACGCACCTTCGCCTAATTTGATGTCATGGGACTGACACAAAGCAAACGCAGGAGTTGCTTGACGTTCTCCGTGTGCTTCCTTAGATGGACATGCTGCGCATGATTGGATCTGAGGCAGCAAGTCGGAAGTACCGGGAAGAAGGGTTGGATGCCGTGACCTACTAGCAAGCAAGGATTCCCCCCGAGACAGAGATAAATCGGTGCGAGAGCAGTTTATCACCGTCTGTGTTGCTTTGTCGCACACGGCTTTACATATCACCAACTCTCCTACACGTAAACACCGAAGTTATATCAAGTGGGCGAGGCTTCCTCCTATGTAACGGCGCGTTAGGCGTTACGAGTGAAAAACAGCAGTCGCAACAAAACAGTTTGCCATCATGAGCAGTCTGCCGGTCTGTGCACGATGCCCAGTGTCCACAAGAGATCATAGCATCTGCTCTTTCCTTCATGTAACTGCGCCCATGGGCATGAGCTTATCACGTCCATGGTCTACATACCAGTGGGGAGGAGGAAGTGTGTGTCCTGCAACGATCAAGGTGGCGGAGACAGAGCTACTGGCAGAATTATGAATGAGTAGATGTCATTGACTTCTGCCTTCGGGCAGAACTGAAACCCTAATTACTCCCTAATTCCACACACCTTTGCTTCACCCATAAGCTGCAAAGTTTCACGCTCCGATACTCCAAGAGGCCACTGTCCACAGTCTACACATAACCATGACTGCTTCATCCGAACAATGCTGTTGGCGAGTTTCCAAGTGTGACCGCGGAATGTTGTAACATATTCTCCTTTGAACTCAGCTTCGTTTACACACAATCGAAGAAGGTGTCAGGAGACTCAGGAGATGCCCTCCGACCGAATTGCACAACAGGTCGAGATTTACCTATCAGAAAGCTTACTGCAAAGCAACGTAGCGGAACCTTGCCAGTAACTCTCCGATCCGAGCCGCACGACAGAGAACCTATCCCTATCAAGAGTAGTGGAATGGCGCGGCAATATTGCAACGCAGGGGTTAAGTTGCCTCTCTGGCACCCTGACTCAAGCCGGATTACTATGAGACTCAAGGAATGGCAAACGCTAATCCGACTTAATGCGGAAATACATGCAAGCGACATACAAAACACGAGGTATCCATGTCTATGTCCTTGCATGCTCGAGCGTCTCGGGCAGTCTCGGCTTCTTTCCAGATCCGATGAGGGTGTTGCGAGGGCCCCCCCAAACTTCCATGCACAAAAGGACAAGACGAGAAGCACGACAAGCTCCGCGACCAGTTGTCCTCGCTGCTCGTCGGCTCGATCCTGAAGGCCGCATCCGCTGTTCTCGCTCCCAAGTTTCATTCTGCCGTGCCTTCTCTTCGACCTTCTCAGCCTTGGAGCCGGAGCTCTTTGAGGAGCCGGTGCTCATCAAGGAACTCAAGCACTCCAAGGCATCCTCCAGGATTATCGAAATGAAGGCACATGTTGTTCATGTCTTTCAACGTGCTTGCCTGCATTGATTCCACATTCTCGTCGGCAAGCTCTTCATCCTGAGGCGGGGAGATCTTCTCAACCACGCGCAGGATGGCAACCACGGCGCCTGCAGAGAAGCACCGGCTAAGAATGCGGACTGGCTACAAGACGCTCACATGATTCAATGATGCTGCGCCGTGGTCAGACCTTCAGTGGCGACGACGGCTCCTGGGGCGCGCTTCGCCAGAGCCTTGAACTCGGCCAGAGCGAATTGTCGCGCTCGATGGCCGCTTGCCGTGCTGCAGTCTCCTGACGCGGTGGCATGTACTCTTGTGAACACTAGATTTAGAGTATGCCTGACTCCCGTGCAGAAACAACTGAACGCGTCACGTCTCGTCCTGAGATTCGGTCGACCAGAGCACCGGCGTCTATGTGGGCATCTATGGAGCTTGCCGAGTCCAGAATACTTTGCCCTTAGGGGAGGTCTGCAGCACAGGATCCCCACCTCTAAGAAAGGAACAATCGTGCTAGGGCACCGGCCTAATGCATCCAATATTGAGCCCGACTGCGCCATCCCATGTGCGCTCGGCTACTGACTGGCGGTGGACAGAAGCTTGCGTTAGTCAGCCAATCAATTGCTAGTTGGTTCTACTCGAAAGTAGGGGGCAGTTACCGCAGGTTTTATTGAGTGCAACGCTCGAAGCAGCTGGGCTGTGGTCAGACGTTGGCATCCGATGGAGCCAAAGAGCTGACACAGGCACGAAGATGCGTGAAGAAGCTTCTCATCGATTGCACATGCCATCCTGGCTACCTCGCTGCTTTGTGCTGGCTCACGTAGCCCGTATCGTCAGCAACTTTAAACAACAGCAGATTCGGAAGGAACGAGCGCAGTCAGTCATCGGTGACCTGAAACCCAGCTCGGACAAAGTAAGCTCTCAGTTCATCCAGAGACACCTTCCGATCACCTTGGATGCATGCTGTATGTGTGGGCCTTTCGCCTATCCGAAGCGCGCGACTTCTGACTTGCCTTGCTGCTGAGACACTGTCGGCATCCAAGGCTTGATACCTTTGCCCACAAAACCACAATCGCAACTGAAGTGTGGAAGACGAGCAAATGATGATGCGTTTCACGCTCGAAAGGCACATACCGGAAACCATTATGAAACGTTGCCCAAAACGACCCATACTGCAGCAATGCGGACACACCGCCCCCACCACTCCCACTGCCTTACCCATCCCACAGCTGGCTGCATTTCCTATGTGTTTAGAGAGTATTTAGAGGCTTCCAATGTCTGTTCAAACCCCCTCCGCCCTCACCTTGCAAACAGCAAACCCCCTCGGCTCTCACCGTCCTCAGCGCCCACACTGCCCCCACCGCACACACCTCTTACCGCCCCCCACCGCCCACCCCCCAGCCTCTCCGTCCACACCTCCGCT